ACTGGAGTGGTTACCTGAACAGTAACCAATCAAACTCCAGGGTGGGCGGGAGATGGAAAATTGTCCAATCATAAGCACCACCATTACAATCACTGCCCAATGAGAGCCTGTCGGGGCATCATTGCCTCTCAAAACCCCAAGGGTCCAGTACAGCGCACACACTCACCTGCAGTGTTGTGGGGTGGGTGCATCTGAACAGGTATAAGAAGGTGAGTGTAGGGTCAGAGCAGGTGTACCCCGATGTCCCTGCTGCAGGGGGCGGGTAGTACGGCGTCCCAGAAACCTGGGGAACAGATAGTGGGGGATGCGGGTCCCGCCTGACCCAGGCCTCAGTCTACTGGGCCCAGCAGGCTCTGCCCCGCTCTGGGTCTGTCGCCTTCCAGACCACCTTTGATCGCCCAGTTTTTACTAAATGCATCACGCGTATAATGAATGGATTTGGAAAGAGGTGATTTTATGGGGAAATGTTCTAATTTTATTCATTTATTTGTTTTAAATTTTATTTTAATGAGAAAAACAGATAACAGAAATCCGTTTCCAAACAGGATAGTCAGAGAGTCACGGTACTTGATACTTTATGTATGGGTGTCTTGCCTCAGTTACTCAGAGTGGGGGACACAGACATGACATCTTGTCTAAACAATATTAGCACAAAACATTTCCCCCGAGGAACAAACAGAAGCTAGCTGTGTAACTACTGGAACCCTCTTCTGTATTATACGTATATTTTTTCCTTTTACCTGTCTTCCCTTTCCGCAGCACGGTTTGTCTTTTCCTTGGAACAGTTCCTCCCCAACTCACAATATCCATTGTATACTTTTTAAAATTTTATTTAGGGGCCGAGGATCAGCGGCATAAGCGCCTGCCTTGCAAGTGTGCGGTCGTGAGTTCAATCCCTGGTACCGATAAAAGAAAGAAAAAAAAAAAAAGAAAATTTTTTATTTATTTATTTATTTTGGTACCGGGGATCAGACTCACGACTCTGCATTGGCCAAGCAGGCACTTATGCCACTTAGCTAACAACCAGCTCTGACTTTAAAAAAAAAAAAAAAAAAAAAGATAAAACAGAAAATCAAGGTGCAAACAAACTAAAAAAAAAAAAAAAAAACTACTAAAGCAAAACAATTGCTTAAAGATTTTCAAAACAAGGTGATAGGAATTTAACAATGGTTGTTATAGTGCATATTGTTATCTTCAAAATAGTTGCTCAGGTTATCAGACACAAGAATAAAAGAAAAACAGTAAAACAAAAAAAATTGGATTCCAAAAACAAGAGGAAGTCCCCCCACAGCTGCCACAAGGCACACTTCCGTCCTCCAAGCAGATGCCCAGACCACCGGCCCCAGGCCTGCAGTCACTCAAACAACCCGAGCATCAGGCTCTTCCTGTCACCTCAGATGCTAGCATCTCACCCTTGGTCCTGAGTCAGCCAGCTGCTTATGAGGGTGTGGGGGGCGCGGTTAGGGGTAGGAGGGGGTGAGCATGGGTCGGGTGGGTGGGGGAGGGATGCTCCTCTGGTTTCCCAGCCCACGCGCCAGCTGGCTCCTGGGAAGGCTGCGTTGTCTTCTTGCTGAGTCTTCTCCTGAGCTCCGTGGCAAAGCCTGGCTCACCTTTGGGCGCGCTTTGTCCAAACGTGCTAATTTTACATTGCATTTGCTAAAAAGTGTGTGTGGGTTTATTTAACTTTTTTTTTTTTTAGGTCTGGAGATGGAAATCATGTCCCTAAGCTTGCCAGCCAGACGCTTGTGCTGCTGAACCTGCTAAACCCCTGGCCCTTATTTATTTTAACTGTTCCTTTCTGGTGTGTCCTTAAGCTTCTCACATCTGTTGTTTTCCTCTCGATGATGACAAACAGCATTCCAGGGTTAGCTTTAAGAATGCTATTGGGGGGACCGGGGCTATAGCTCAGCAGCTCAAGTGCCTGCCTGGCAAGTGTGAGGTCGTGAGTTTGATCCCTGGTACCAAAAAAAGAAAGAAATTAAAAAAGAAAGTGAGGAAGAGAGAGACCTGCACTCTTATCCACGTGCACCCCGCGCCTCCTTACCCAGACAGAGAATTTCTGTTACATCCTGTCTTTATTTTTTTTAACTTATGTTTTATTTTTTGTCTTTTTGAGACACGGTCTCGCTGTGCAGCTCAGGCTGGCCTTGTGCTCACTCTGTAGCCCAGGCTGGTCTTGAACTCGCAGCGATCCTCCTGCCTCAGCCTCCCGAATGCAGAGATGACAGGAGTGCGCCACCTCGCCCAGGCACCAGTCATATTTAGCTGGCAAAAATAATTTGAACAGGCCCGTTACGGTCATTCACGTTGGCCACTGAGTCTTACGACGGTTAATGGTGTGGTCCACGGTGCTGGACCAGCAAGAACGTGCTGAGCTCAGGGTGAGCGGCAGAGGGCGCTCGTCGAGAGCCAAGATTCCTCTGAGAAGCAGCAGCTGCCCTCCCTGCAAGGAACAGTGTTGAATGTGAGGAACGGTAACATAGTCTCTTGTTTCCAGAGGGCAACACAGCACAGCAAAAAATATACATAATAAAAACATAAATAAAAGGTGGGGGACTTTAGTTTTTTTTTGTCAAAATTAATTCTGCAGCTAAGAGACCAAGAGAGCCCTGGAGAAGGTCTCCCTGAGGTCCTTTTTTGGGGGGCAGTGTGGGAATTAACTCAGGACCTTGCTCTTACCAGGCAGGTGCTGTACCTCAAAGCTCCATCCCTGGCCCCTCCCGAGGTCCTTGTGGAGGAGACGCCCAAACAGTGACCTCCCCACCACCTTCCGGCCCTCTATGCCTGAAGTGGCCTCCAGCAAGGCTACTGCTTGCTCTCTTCACCCTGGGATGCACTTGGTTTCATGCTTTGGGGTTGGAAGTGCGCCCCCAGGGAATGGGAGTGGCGGCCTGTGTCACTGTCTTCCTGGGACGGCCGGTCATGTCCCCATCCAGCCCTCTATCGGGGGTCTTGGCTGTGCCTTCACTGTTGTCCTGTGGTCCCTGATAGGCCGGGCTGCTGGGTCTGCATCCGGGAATGCCTGCCCTCAGCTCCTGTCCCCAGCTGTGACCAAGACCCAACAGGACGCTGCTGCTTCCCCGCCTTTGCCATGGCCCTGATCAAATCCGTGGTCACTCACACTTGCAGGATAAATGGCAGGTCAGGTCGTAGACTTGTCGGTCTGGAACCTGCATCATAGGATTTCCTCAGACGGTGCATGGCAGCTTTTCAATCCGTAGGACAATCTGAAGTCAACATAAAATCATCAGTGCAAAACAGCACGTGGAGTGTGGCCAGGCAAATACTCAGTTCCGCACGTGGCCTCTGGTCTTCCAGGACCCCCAAGATCCGGGCACTCTGCCTCCTAATCTGGATCAGTGGGGCCAGTGTCACCTCTTCCAGCTTCTCTGGGGCTGCTTGTATCTTTGGCCCTGGCCCCTCAGCGAGGATTGCCACTCCACAGAGCCAGCTACACCCAAAGCTGCCTATCTATCTAATTTTTCTGCAGCTTGGCCAGTGGTCAGCAGGGCTGTCCAGATCGGGCATCCACCGAGCTTTAGTGGAGACTGTGCTACCAGAGAGAAATGGGCTTGCAGCAAACCAGTCTGCACTGCAGCACCATAGCCCAGATGGGGAACTGCCGATGGCAGGCGTGAAAGACACAGGCACGTTCGGGACAGGGGCAGCCTCCTAGCCTCCTCTGCAAGCCATCTGACCCCTGATGCTGTCGCTGCCTAGGTTGGGCCAGGAGATGTGGAAGGGAAGCACCAGGGTAAAGCGAGATCTGTAAAAACTGCACCAGTGCCAGGTGTGGTGGTGCACACCCTTCATCCCAGCATTTGGGAGGCTGAGGCAGGAGGGTCACTGTGAGTTTGAGGCCAGTCTGGGCCACATAGTGAGTTGAAGGCCAGCTGGGAATAGAAAGTGAGACCCTGTCTCAAATCAATTCAGTAAATAACGAAGCGATGAATGAAGGCAGACGTGTCAGCTGTGTAGCCTAAAGAGTGGAAGCAGGACAGCTCTGGAAAGAGCCAGAAAGCAGAAACCAGTGACATCTGGCGAAGCTCTTTATTTATTTATTTATTGTCTTTTTCCTTTTTATCAGTACCAGGGATCAAACTCACGATCGCCTGCTTGCAAGGCAGGCGCTTATGCCGCTGGGCTAAATCCCCAGCCCCGAAGCTCTTTATTTTAGAACACCCTGGGCAGGGATGGGTAGACTCTGGTCTTAAGAGCCAGGTTGTCTTTAAGAGCCTCTTGATTTGTGGGTTTTAAAAATGATTTTATTGTTGTTTATAAAATGACAAGATTACTGGGCACACATCACTGTGTCTGGGCAGATTATTTACTGCATTAAAAAGAAGCCAGGTACAGTACTGAGGCCTAGAAGTAAAAGTAGCATTATAAACTACACAGCAGAATACAAGAGGCAGCCAAAGCCCTCAGGTATGCGACTAGATAAATCTCGCAGGCTCCTCCTACGTAGCTGCAAAATTGGCATTGTTCTTGGTGCATAAACAGTTCCCACCCACGAACATCTCAAAAAAGTTTTTTTTTTTTTTTCCCAGCAGTAGAGCTGTGAGGTCAGGCTCAGACTGACTCAAGACAAATTATAATGTTGCTAGAGTCGCTTTCCTCGTGGAGGCTCGGGGAGGGAAGCACAGTGTCTGTGTCCTGGTGGTGGCCACCACGTTCTGCACTGTGGTCCCAAGATGTCACACCTCGTCCTTTCACCCAGGATCTCACAAAGCCATCCCAAATCTGGGAGGGTGCACATGTGGGAAGCTCAAACCACACTCTCAGCTACATAGTCCTCTTGCAGTACCCAGGGGAAACTGACAAGCTAGGGAGGCAAGGTTTCCACGGTTCCCTTCCCAGCCTCCTCTAGCGCTCTGAAATTAACGAGCATACGAGCATATCTCAAACCTGCAGTGAAAATCTCCCCACTACCGCCCCCTCCACACTGCGCCTGCGCACTCCAGAGGTCTGCAATCCCAGGTAGCTCTGGGGCAGGATGTGTGGCTGGATGGGAGGACAGGTAAAGCCACGCCAAGCGTCCTGCGCATGCTCATTGTTAGTCTGCCATTTCCCACATGCCATCGGGGCAGCGTGCAGGAAAGGCGCATGCGTCAAGATGGACGGCGCTGTACCTGAGGCTCTGAGGCGGCGGCGAGGTAAGGAGTTAAGAAGTGGACAGGATGTCCACGGGCCTGAATGAGTGTGAGAGAACCCTGTGGAGAGACGCGGGGGCCGGGAATATGCTTAACAGCTGAGGCAGAGCACACGGGACGCCTGGTGACGGCCCTGGCGCCATTGAGGCTGTGCTGTGTGTGCCGGGCCAGCTTCTCCTTGTGTCCACCTGACGTGGGTTTTGCTTCTGCCATTCATACACCTCACAGCTGTGGGTGTCTGTCTCAGGCCTGGAACCAGCTGGCTGTGGTAGCTCATGCCTGTCACCCCAGCGCTTGGGAGGCTGAGGCAGGAGGATTGCTGTGATTTCAAGACCAGTCTGGGCTACGAAGTGAGTTCAAGGCCAGCCTGAACTGCGTAGCGAAACCCTGTCTCCAAAAGACACACCTATAAAAAGATACAATGATGCTCAAGGGTTACGACACCCCCATTAGGATCCTCTGGGAAGTGGACCTTTATGTATACCTCTTAGAGGCATGTAGGGAATTGTTTCTCTAAGTCAAACTATATCTGCAGTGGGGCTAAAACTCACCTAAGTGAACTAGAAACCGGAATCCTCAAAGGCCCAGTGCATTTGTCCTTTCAGTCCTGGTTGTATTGGGGATTGAATTTAGGTCTCTTGCACTGAGTTGCATCTCCTGTACTTTTTTATTTTGAGATGGTTTTACTAAGTTACTAGGTTGCCTAAGGCGGGCAGGAACTTGTGATCCTCCTGCATCAGCCACCCAGAGTCCTGGGATAATAGGCCACCATGCCCAGCAGTGGTGGCTCTAAACCTGAGTAATATTTGCTTCCTTTCCAGGTGTCACAAAGTTAGGGAACTGCTGAATTATAACGCAGCACCATAGAGGGAAAGAGTGCTCCGACTGACAGAATCTATCAGGAGAATCCTCTACATCTCTACATGGTTATTCACAGATATCTTTGTTCCAAATTCATTTTCCAAGTTGCTATTAGAAGCAAAAACATTTGCTGCTTAGAAAAAGGCAAAAACAAAAATAACAGTTCACCTGATAAGGAACTTTGCATATTTACCAATTTTGATCAGCCGTTTATTAACAGGATATTAACAAGGTTCCTTCAGTCAAAGAAAGGAAGGTCAGTTTCTCTGTAAGAAGACTGGAATGTATGTGGATATGGGCAAGTGTTACTCAGTACCTGTTACATTAAATGACTAAAAACAATTCCAGCATCTACCAAAAGGATATTTTTAATTACTCTTTAAAAGCAATTAAAAAATGCGTAACTCCTAGAGTCACTTGTGTAATGAAAATGTACTTCAGATCATATAAGGAGCCAACAGATCCACAAAGGTGAAATTTTATTAATTACATGGGAAAACATCATGAAATTTCTGTAATATGGCTCATAATGTAGTTCGAATTCTTGCCTAACTCCATGGCTGTTTGAAAACTAAAGTAGAAATTCATTACCCCATGGGTCCTCTATAAAAATGAACCACTGATGTGAAGCACCCTATTTGTGACTTGTACATTTCTTCTCAATTGATAAATGAGCCCAAGTCAAGGTGTGAAATTTATATTCCATTCAAAGGAGAAAGCGCTGTCCTTTGACCCTGACCCCAGTTGCTGTAGGATACCAAGATTGTACACGTCACTGTTGGGAGAGGTGAAAAAGGCAGGAACATACATCCCAGAACCTCTGATCCATCTTCATGGTTGTGATCAGAGCCGGGACAGGTAGTTGGCGTGCTTGGTGATACAGATGAAAATCATCGATTCCAGTGTAAATCAGCAAGAAAAACCAATTGCAGCTCAAAACTAGACCTGCAAACAAAGAGGAAAGAAGGAAAATGGAAGAGAGAGGGATAACTATAGAGATCCCTGACGTCCTGAGGAGGCAGCTTGAAGATGATTGTTACAACATTAACAGGAGGAAGCGGCTGGTGAAGCTCCCGAGCCAGACCAATGTCCTGACTATTTTGCAGACCTACGTGAAGCATTTTGCCATCTCTGCAGTCTCATCTGCCAAGCAGAGGCCTCGGCCCCAGCACACTGTGGTAGGTGCCAGCATTGCCCTGTGTAAGGAGATGGCTGACGGGCTGAGGATAACCTTCGACCACACTCTCCCATCACTCCTGCTCTACCCGTGTGAGCGGGCACAGTACACCAAGGTGACTTCCGCTAAACTTTTTGTCCCAATTAAGCAAAGCCCCACGACCAGTGACAGGAGCCAGGAAGCACTGTCTCCCAGCCCAGCTTTGCTGATTCCCCTCACACCACAGTCCGCAGACTGTGATGAGCTTGCCACCCCCAAGAGGCACAAAACCAAGCTGGAAGTCTCGCAGTCCGTGCGGCGGTCTGCGAGACACAGCACCCACTGTGACAGGCTGGCCCAGGGCAGCACCTGCGTGGGCCGACAGCAGGACACACCAGCCAGCACGCTCAGGCTGTCCCTGCAGCCAGAAAAGAAGTTGCCAGTGCATAGCAGGTCATCTTCCTGCATACCTGTGACCCCAAACAAGGAGGGGAATGGGAATGCCGCCTTTGCTGGCTTTGAAGGGGGCAGTGAAATAAACAGTGACCTGTTCTGGAAGCTTGTGCCCGACAGTTACCCTCCAAGTGACCAGCCACCGCCACCCTCTTACATTTATGGGGCACAACATCTTCTACGGTTGTTTATAAAACTCCCAGAAATCCTGGGAAAGGTGTCCTTTGCCGAGAAGACGCTGAAGGCTTTACTGAAGCACCTTGACCTCTTCCTGAGGTTCCTAGCAGAATACCATGCTGACCTGTTCCCAGAGTCAGCCTATGTCACTGCCTGTAGGGGCCACTGTGGCACCAAGAGCCCTGGGGCAGCTGATTAAACTGGTGGCTGCACTGCTGGCTTTATGTTTCAGGGTGCACAAATCTTGGGCCCACCCTAGGGTCTCCGGCAGAGGTGGGCTCTGTTATTTGAACTGCCCACATATTGTAGTATTTCTGTTAAGAATTACTTCCTGGCTGCCTGAATGTCCTCTGACATAACTCTTGCTGTTACACAGGACGTCTGTGGTGCCAGGCAATGAACAGATGCATTCATCAAGTAATTTCCACAAGAGTGGCTTATGTTTGGTAGGCATTGCGGTTGTTCACTGTTGTCAGCATGAAAAGATGAGTTTAGTTAGTTGTTAGCAGAATTTTTTCTTGAGTCAGCATCTTTCCAGTTAACGCTGGCCTCAAACTCAGGGCAACCCTCCTGCCTCAGCCTCCCAAGTATTAGGGTTACACACATGCACCACCACAGCTAGCTAAACTAAAACATTTTTGCAGTCTGTTTTCATTCTTGTGGCAAGGCTGAATGGCTCTGAGCAATCTATTTTAGTTCGTACGTGGAAACTACCAAGAATCCCAAAGTCTTTTCGAAGGGATCAGTATCAATAGCAAAAGATAATACGCAGCTATACATTTAGAGTTCTCTCTATGAAACCTTATTTGGGTGCTTAATAAAGCATTGCCTGTCTTGTTTGAGCTTTTATAGCCATACTTCGTTGAGTAATGTCATGGTTCCCTTTCTAGAAAATGTTATCTTTGGTGATCTAAATAAAAAAGTTTCCTGGTTTGAGTTTCCTGGAGCATTATCTGATTTCCTTCTGTCTTTCTGACCTTGCTTACCTTTACCTGCCTGCTCTCTGAGATGAGCTCTTGTGTTACGCTGAGAGCAGAGACTTTAATTCCTCAGCTTTCCTGGATTTTTCTTTTCTTTCTTTCTTTCTTTCTTTTTTTTTTTTTTTTTTGTCTTTTTCGTTTTTATCGGTACCAGGGATGGAACTCACGACTGCCTCCTTGCAAGGCAGGCGCTTATGCCACTGAGCTAAATCCCTAGCCCCTTTCCTGGATTTTTCACATGTGTGGGTTTTGCAAGTTTTTGTACACAGGACCAGATGAGGACCCCGCCCCTCTGTTTATATCGCTAGGTTTCCCTTTTGCTCACGTATTTTTGTGCAGGTGAGGGCCAGTGGTGAGCTTCACACTGTTGGCATTTGTAACTTCTCCCTCCAGGGGACGTGTTCTGATGTCCTTCACATGCAGGACAGGCCACATGCAGGTTCCCACGGTGCCATACTTGGGTACATGAGACGCTCTCCAGCAGAAAGCCTTCCTTACCGTTAAAAGGAGCAGGCTAAAGCTTGCTGGCCTTGCTGTGTTCGGTCCCTTCACTGTGACAAAATGCCTGAGACAATCAACTGAAATGAGGAGGGTTTGCCTCGAGAGGAGCACAGAGGCTGTGTGGGCAGACTGCTTACTCCAGGGCACAGAAGAGGCAGAGGGCACAGGGACCAGGGACAAACCCCGGCCCTCAGAGCTCCGCTGTCACGGTCTGTTCCCTGTGGCTGGGCCTGGTCTTCTAAGTCGCCACCGTCTCCCATTAAGGCAAGCAGGTTATGATCAGGTTGGTGGATTTGTCCTTGAATGAAGGGTGGGAGTCCCCGTGAGCCAAGCCCTTCTGAAGCTCCCCCTGTGAACGTCGCCAAATGGGGATCAAGGCCTCAATGCAGAGCTTTTGGGGGCCATTAAAGGTTCCCACCATGCCTCTGCCATTCAGCAGTGTGCCTGCCTTGGCAGAGTCTTTCGGTGTCTTAGAAAGGCATGTGAGCCGTGGTCTCTCTCCTGGCCTTGTGTTTATGTGGCTTCAGCTTGGCGGCACCCCCTGCAGATGGTGATGCCGGTACAGGCGGGAACCTCGGCTTTTCCCCTCAGAGTGACACCCAGCATAGGACACACAGGAGAGCCAAGGGTCCTGCAGGGTCTGGAGTCAGTCTGGGGCATGAGATCACCTGTGCAGCTAGCTGTGTCTTTTAAGAACAAAACTACTGCCAGGCATGGTGGCCCACGCCTGTCATCCCAGCACTCAGGAGGCTGAGGCAGGAAGATCATTGTGAGTTCGAGACCAGCCTGGGCTACAAAGTGAGCTCAAGACCAGCCTGAACCACATAGCGAGACCCCGTCTCAAAAAGACAAAAAAAAAAAAAAAAAAAAAAAAAAAAAAAAAAGAAAGGGAAAAAAAAAGGAGAAGAAAGGACCTCATTGTCGAAGACTTGTTATATATTTAATAGGTAATTCGACCTAGTAGGAAAGTGACTCGGAACCCCGAGACCAAGGTGTTCCAGGCTGGGAAATCCCCACAGCATCCATTTTTCGGGGCTCTGATGAAAAGACAGGAAATGCACCATAAGCCGTTCATATTCATATATGCAAGTCCGTGTCACACTCGTGCCCACGTGGAGATGGAGAGCCTGGGACATGCTGGGCTCTGAAGCCAGGTGCACAGTTTTGAATATATTTTGATTTTCTGTCAGCGCAGAGCCACTGCCCACATCGGTCCATTAGCATGCGCACACAGTGTGGCGACCTCATCCAGTAACTGGCAGATTGGTCCCCGAGACATTCATGATCCCTTGCTTCTGAACAGGTCATCATTGTTGACCATACTTCCCAGACCGCACTGGAGGACTTCAGAAGTTATCCTCCCACCCGGTGGCACCCAAGCCAAGTTTAATCTGCGGGGGTAGCATTGAAATCCAGAGGGACACGAGTGGATCCAACCTTGAGTTAGCTGAATTCACCCCTTTTTAGCTTAGCTTGGGATAGGAGACCGGTACCTGTTGGTCAGAGAGGCAGCAAATTGAGATGAGTGACAGAAACAGGTCTGCAGTGTCCTTAAAAGAGAACTTTCAAGAGCCGTGTTTTTAGCCATGTGTGGTGGCACTGAATCAGCACACTCAGAGGCTGAGGCAGGAGGGTCTCAAGTTGGAGCTCAGCCTTAGCAATTTAGGACTTAGGCTCTGGCTCCAAAAACAATCAATAAAATGAGCTGTAATATCAAACGCTGGCGGGGCTGGGGGAAAAGGGCCCTTCTCCAGTATTGGTGGGGTGCAGACTGGGGCAGCCACTGTGGAGATCAGTGTGGAGACTCCTCAGAAACTAGGACTAGCGGTTCCATTTGATACAGTTACTTTCCTGTTTGGTATCTTCCTGAAAAAGCTAAAAAGCATCACACCACAGTGATACACGCAGGTTTATAGCAGTGTGGTTTGTAATAGGCAGGTCTTAGGAAACAGCCCAAGTGCCCATCAGCTGAGGAATGGATAAAGAAGATGTCAAGGTTTTTAATACAGTGGAGTAGTATGCTGCCACGAAGAAGGGCACACTCGGGACAGTCCAAGGTAAATGCACACACCTTGAGACGATAATCTTAAGAAAAACATGGAAACAAAACTTTCGTAAATAGAGAAGGGAGGAAGGGCTGAGGGGAGAGAATGGAAGTGGGGGGATTAAGTTACGTCATGCACAGGTACAAATTCTCCATGATGAATGTAATTATGTGGATCTAAAATGTTCCAATAAAATCTGATTGGAAAAAATAAAAAAAGGTGGGTGTCAGGCATCTGCCCAGCAACGTGACTGAGACTAGAAGACAACTGGCCCCTTACCCCCAGTAGGGCAGAGCGGGCTCTGCATACTGGCCTAGGTCCAAGGCCTTAAGGCCTGGCAACAGCCCTCGGGCCAGAGGGACAGCTCATTCCTGAAGCCTTTGAGGCCAAGCCGGTGTGGTGGCGCCAGCCTGCCATCCCAGCACTCAGGAGGCTGAGGCAGGAGGATGGAAAATGCAGGGACAGCGCAGGCCGCTCTGGGATTGGCTCTTGCAAGGCAGCCCTGGGCCTCCGGCCCTGGCCCCTCAACCACATAGCTGTGGTGGAACACAGACCCCAGGGGCTGCCACCCTAATTGTGTGAGCGAAGGTGCCAGTCCCAGCCCTGAGCTCTGGGGACTCCACTCCGTTCTGGAGGTGGGCTCCCAAGTCTGAGCAAGCACAAAAATGTGACACGAGCCCCCTTGTCATGGCCACCCGTGCTTCTCCTTGGGGATAAAAGAAAAAACGTTTCTTTTGGATTCCGGCGCTGACGGATGCCAGAGTCTGAAATCCGTGGTCTTCATTGTGCTAGTCTCCCTCAGTCTCTCTGTCTCTCTTTTTAGATAGGGTCTCACTATATAGTCCAGCTCGAATTCACAGAGACCCTCCTGCCTCAGCCTCTCACGCGCTGGTGCCCCGCCACACCGGTCTGCAACAGTCCCTGAACAAAGTCCCTCCTCATTCCACATCTGCTGTTGACAAAGCCAGCACAGGTCACCCTCATTGCACAGGTCGAAGCCCTCAAACCCTCCGGCCGTCCATCTAACGCTGCCACGCCCCACCTGGCTGGGCAGTATCTCCAAAATAGCACACCTGCCACCTTAAAGGGTCCCGAGTCCCCCTCCTACGCTGGACGGCTTCCCAAACTGGCCCCTCCCCCATTCACCACCAGGCTGACCGCTTGCTGCAGCCCCCGCCCACCCTCAGCCCAGGACACCTGGCAGCCTGGCCCGCACCCACAGTCTCTAATCCCCTGCCGCATCTGAGCTATTAAGGCGGCGACGCCACGCCCCTGAGTTCTGATTGGGCAACGCTTATGGCTCCCTCCATGATTGGACTATGATTCTGAGATCCGCGCCTTTTATTGGACAGACCTTCGGGTCTCGCTGTGGAAGCCGTGATCGGATATTTTCCCCAGAATCCGTCCCCTAGAGCCTAAGTGACAGCTCTAGACTCTCGAGTCTCAAGTGGGCCATTCAAAGAATGCTGTCTCAGCCCCGCCCCGCTCACGCCCTCCGAGGACCCGATTTGCCACGCCCCCCCATAGCCCGAGTGACAGGTACACCCTGGACCCGCCCGGTACTGTCGCCTGCTGGGTTAAGATTGCTCTGCAGCCTCCAAAGCGAGCTGGGACGCTCAGATTAACTAAGCGAAAAGAAATCGCCCTGCGTGGTGGCGCATGCTTGCAACCCCAGCACTTGGGAGGCTGAGGCAGGAGCATTGCTGCCTGGGCTACTAGTGAGGTCAAGGCCATCCTGAATTACATAGGGAGAACCCTCTCAAAACAAACCAACTAACAAACAAATGAGGTCATTAACGGCTGCTCATAGCCCTATCTGATGGCACACACCTCTAACCACAGCACTCTGGGAGGCTGAGGCAGGAAGATGGCAAATCAGGGCCCAGCCTGGACAATTTAGCGATTTAGTGAAACCACTATAACATAAAAAAGTGATGGTGGATGTGGACAGCTGGGTTCCGCTGTGTGTGTGTGTGGGGGGGGGGGAGTTGTTCGTTTAGTGCCTTTTACTGGTGCACACCAGGGGTTTCATTTGGCACATCTACACATGTGCATAACTTTGGTCCCCTAAGCTGCCCCAGCCCCTGTTCACGGGACATCCGCACCGCTCCTCCCGCCCTGGACTCCCCCGGCAGGGAGCCCGTGAGGTCTGAATGGTCCCCTTCTTTCTCTTGACACGAGCTTCTCCTTTATCCGTGCCTCTGCTGCGCCCGCACCGTTAAGAGAGTTTTAGAAACGCACAAAACATTGCCACGTGCGGGTTCAAGGGCAAATGCCCGAAAAACATCACCTCTGCCACCCGCACAAACTCGGGTTCTGTCCCGGGGCTCGGGAGGCGGCTCATGGCGGCTTCCGGGGTGCAAAGCCCTCGACTCAATCCCCACAATCGCGATGAAAACAAAGAAAAAAA